GCCAGGCTGGAACCCTGGGAGAGGCCGCAGGTGGGCTGGGCGGGCGGGCGGGCCCAGGGCATCGGAGGTGGTGGGGGGCCACGAAGTGTAGCCTTGAGCATCGGACCAAAGTGGTTGCTCTTCATTCCGGGAGTGAGAGTGGGAACCACTCAAAAGCCAGTGACCAGGGTGGCCGAGAGGGTGGCGTGTCTGATGGGTCAGGTGTGATGGTGGAGAGAGTGGGGGGACCGCCAGAGAGAGGCTGTGAGGAGGGCCCGGGCGGGGGGCCCTGTGGGCGCGTGCTCCAGGGGCCGCAGGAGCAGAGGGACAGCCAGCACTCCGCCCCTGCACCCCAGGCTCACCTGCTGGTCATGTGACCGAAGGTCCTCCCCTCTCCCCACCTTCTCTCCTGACCCGCCCCGGCAGCCCCTCGTCCGGGCTCCAGGGTCCCGTGTTCCGCGTCCTCCCCGCCCTCTGACTGACTGTCTCCGGTGCCTGCCAGGCTGTCCATCAGCAGATTCTGCGCAACAGACTCCTCATCGTGCGGAGGAGAGAGCTCGTGTGGAGGAGGGACGACTGCCGGAGGTTTTACCGGGAGCACGAAGGTGGGACCCGCCCCCGCGGGGCTGCTCGCTCCGGAGGCACCCAGGGCTTTACCTGGACGCGGCCGCGACCCCGTGAAGCTCACCTTTCCTAGGAGGGTTCTGTTCCGTCCCGGCCGGGAGCTTGGCTTTATGTCCCGATGACGTTCCCTGTGTCAGACCCCGTCCCACGCTCAGTTTCTTTGTTGTTAATCCTCACCCGAGGACATTTCCCGTGGACTTTTGGAGAGAGGGAAGGAAAGGGGAGGGACAGAGAGAGACACATCAGTTGGTTGCCTCCCGCACACGCCCCGACCAGGGCTGGGGTCGGAGCCTGTGACCCAGGTACGTGCCCTGGATCGGAATTGAACCCGGGACCCTCCAGTCTGGGGCCGACGCTCTGCCCACTGGGCCAGTCCTCTAGGGCCTAATGCTCATGATTTCATGTCATTCTCCCAACAGCCCTCGAGTAGGTGTTGCTATGTCCTCGGTGTCCAGATTAGGGAACTTGATGGCTCCCCCAAGATGGCACAGGTTGTGAGGGGCAGAGCCTGGCTTCAGACCCAGGTGGGCCGGACTAGGCGGCCCTGTCCTTTGTTCTGAAACGGTTTCTATCCTTCTGAGCCGGGAGGAGGCGTGCAGAAGGCTCCTGGCACGTGTCCTGACGCCGGCGCTCTCTCTGCAGGGCGCTTCTTCTACCAGCGGCTGGTGGAGTTCATGGCCAGGTACGTCCGGCCCTGCTTCCCGCATCGTTACCGACTGAGACAGACGCCCTGCCCCCAAACAGATGCATCGGCGTTCCTGGCCACTCTGTAAAGTGTAATGAGTGGCCAGAAACAGGAACTCGGGCTCGGCCTGAGCCACCTGCCCTGGAGCCTGTCCTGTGCCGGTGACTGGCCAGTGGCCGTAGCAGCGTATCGCTGAATGCTGCCCAGCAACGGCTGATCTCCCTGGTTTCTTGGGCACCGGCACCAGCTAGAATGGCACGGAAACGCTCAGGACGTACAGGGCACCTTTTTTAAAAACATATTTTTATTGATTTCAGAGGGGAAGAGATGGGAGAGAGAGAAACATCAGTGATGAGACAGAGTCATTGATCAGCTGCCTCCTGCATCCACTGGGGATCAGGCCCTCAACCCGGGCCTGTGCCCTGACCGGGAATGGCACCCTGACCTCCTGGTTCATAGGTCGATGTTCCACCCCTGAGCCACGCCAGCGGGCTGCAGGGCGCCTTTGTCTGTGACACATGCGCGGGGTGCCACCCGAGACCCGGCGGCCAGGTTCCTGACATGTGCCCCTTGGTCCACAGCGGGCCCATCCGAGCCTACATCCTCGCCCACCCGGACGCCATCCAGCTCTGGAGGACGCTGATGGGGCCCACCAGGGTGTTCCGCGCCCGCCACGTGGCCCCCGACTCCATCCGAGGGAGTTTCGGCCTCACCGACACCCGCAACACCACCCATGGCTCCGGTAGGTCTGCCCCAGGCCCACAGCCACACACGGGGGAGGGGTGGGGGCAGTGAGCTTTTCCCTCCTGCATTTCTGGCCCTCGGTGGCCTCAGCGCTGTGGCCCCAGGACTGAGAGCAGAAGAGGCTCGGTTTCTGCCTCTCCTTTCTCTCTTTCTCTCTCTCTCTCTCCCCTCTCCTCTCTCCCCCTCTCCTCTCTCTCCCCTCCCTCTTCTCTCTCTCCCTCCCCTGCAGACTCCGTGGCCTCCGCCAGCAGAGAGATCGCAGCCTTCTTCCCCGACTTCAGCGAGCGACGCTGGTATGAGGAGGAGGAGCCGCAGTGGCGCTGGGGCTCCGTGCGCTACAGTCCGGAGGGGGGTGTCCACTGCGCAGCGGGCACAGGCGGCCAGGACCGGCCTGGCCCCGGCCTGTGGGCCTGAAGGCTGGATGGGGAGGCTGGGGCTCATGGCGGCCAGGCCCTGCCCCACCTGAGAGCCTGGCTCCTCACTGCCGCCGCCTGCGAGCCTCTCTCTCCTCTGCCTCTTCGCTGGGCTGGTCCTGGGGGTTCAGGGGAAGGAGGGCTCCTCTTTGCCCTGAAACTGTTCACACTTTTTCGAGGAGGAGCTGCCCGAGTGACTGACTTTGAGCCACCTGGCCCTCCCTCCGTGCGAGTCCCTGTCCGACCCGCCTCCCGCAGGCCGGCTGCTCAGGGCCTGCTGGTCCTGATGGAGTCAGTGAGCCTGTCCTGAGGCCCTTCCCCTCCGGTGCCCGGGGGTCCACACACAGTGCGGCTCAGTGGGCTCCGGTCCCGGCTGGGCCCCAGGCCTGGCCTGCGCCCTGGGGGGAGGGGCGGCCTGATGAATCAACTCAAAATGTAGTTCTTCAGAGAATAATCTCGCCCCGGCCAGTGTGTCTCAGTGGATAGAGCACCGACCAGCAGACTGAAGGGTCCCAGGTTCAGTTCCGGTCAAGGGCACAGGCCTGGTTGCAGGCTGGATCCCCAGTGGGGAGCGTGCAGGAGGCAGCCGATCCATGATTTTCTCGTTATTGATGTTTTTATCTCTCCCTCTCCTTTCCTCTCTGAAATCAATACAAATATATTTTATAAAGAGAGAGAGGGATGGTGTGTTCCTATGTGTCTGCCGGTCGGCAGGGGAACCGCTAGTCTCACTTGGACTCACTCGTGGCTGCACTCAGCGGGTGGGTCCCCCGCAGGCTTTCATCTGGAGCTTCACAGCATGTGGTCTTAGGGTCCCCAGGGGGCCAGCCCCCATTCACAAGCTTTCCAAGTTCCTGCTCCTGTCATGTCTGCTAACATCCCATTGGCCAAAGCAAGTCACATGACCAGACAGTCCATTTGGGAAGGGCCTGCATAAGGGAGGGGTACTGGGAGGGATATTGGGGGCCATACCATGACAATCTGCAGTAGTGAGAATAGTGAGGAGCCTTGAATTGATATAGAATTTGTGAGACCAAATATTGCACAAGCCAACAAAGGAGATGAAGAAATAGCCCTAACTGGTGTGGTTCAGTAGATAGAAGGTTGGCCCTCAGGCTGAAGGGCCCCAGGTTCAATTCCAGTCAAGGGCACAGGCCTGGTTGCAGGCTCGATCACCAGTAGGGGGCGTGCAGGAGGCAGCCGGTCATGTGTTTTTTTGACATCGATGTTTCTGTCTTTCCCTCTCTCTTCCACTCTCTAAAAATCAATGGGGGAAAATAAATAAAAAATAAAATAGAAATAATAGAAAGAGAAGAAAAAAATCAATGGAAAAATATTCTCGGGTGAGGATAAAAAAACAAAAAAAAAAGACTCAAGCACATTATTGGGCAGAAACTCATTTTGCCTCAACTAGACCTGAGGCTATAATGGATTCTTTTTTCTTTTAGGAAGAGTTATTTTATTTTTTAATATTTTTATTGATTTCAGAGAGGAAGGGAGAGGGAGAGAAACATCAGTGATGAGAGAGAATCATTGATCAGCTCCTCCTGCACGCCCCCTACTGGGCACGTGCCCTTGACTAGAGTCGAATCTGGGCCCCCTCAGTCCGCAGGCTGACGCTCTAGCCCAGTGACGGCGAACCTTTTC